GAAGCTGTTGTCTCAAAAAACTACTGTGAGGCTATCAGAAACCATCCCATGTGTAGTTACCATATACAGGCATGGTTGTGGATGCCAGGAAGTTCATGCCTGACATCCCTGTCTCCTGAGAGGCTCTGCCTCTGCCTCTGGCAGAGCCTCTCAGCTAACCATTGAACTGATTATGGGGTTCCCAATGGAGGAGGTAGAGAGAAGACTGAAGGAGCCAAATGGGCTTGCAGCCCCATGGGACAAGCAACAATACCAACCAACCAGAGCTCCCAGGGTCTAAACCACCAGCCTGGGAGCCCATAGTGAGGGACCCATGGCTCCATCTGTATATGCAGTGGAGGATGGCCTTGTCAGGCATTTGTGGGAAAGGAGGTCCTTGGTCCCGTGAAGGCGGATGCCCCAGTGTCGGGGGATTCAAGAGCGGGAAGTGGGGAGTAGGAGGATGGGTAGGGGCACAACCTCATAGAAGTAGCAGGAGGGGGGATAGGATAAGGGACTTCTGGGGAGAGATGGGGAAAGGGCGTAACATCTGAAATGTAAATAAATAAAATATCCAATAAAAAGAAAAAAATAATAAAAAATTTAATTGAGACAGGAGTCTCATTCTCTCATATACAGTCCAGATTGGCATGGAACTTGTGATCCTCCTGTCTCAAGCCCCTACATACTGCCGTTACATGAGTATAACCATGCGCAGTGTAGACATTGTTTTCAAGGACAAGCCTTCATATTGGGGAATATCAGTTTGGATGGCAAATAGATGCTGAAAGACTGTAAAGTCTTAAAGGTTTTAAAATTTAGGGGTATGGATAAGTGCCTGTGTGCAAGTAATGTGTGCACATGTATGCAGGCACATGGGAAGCCAGAAGGGGGCATCAGATCCCCCAGGAGCTGCAATTACAAGTGCTTGTGAACTACCCCACATGAGTGCTAGGAACGAAACTCGGTCCTCTGCAAGAGGACTGTGCTCTTAACCACTGAGCCATCTCTCTATCCCCTAAAATGTCAAATGACTCCTCTCAACTGCAGCTTGTGACCAGCGTCCCTCATCCTTCACTCACGGCACACCCTTCTCGATTAGTAAGCTCTTATTTTTTATTTGCTCTGATAGATCCTCTTGTCTGTGGTAAATTTTTCAGAGGAGGAGTAGCCGTTCTGAGCTGACAACACTCCCATGACCCTGGGGGCTATAGCCTAATGCTCTGCTGAACAGAGTGGCCCACAGCCATCAGCTGTCACTTTCATTAAGATATTAGGAGCGGAGAAAAACCGTCCTGACACAGGCATGGAGATCTGGCCAAAGATGTTCTCATAGGGGAGAAAGTAGGCTCCCAGCTTGGCTACTCCTTCATCTCCAGATGCTTCAGTTTCTCTGCCCACTTCACAGGGCACTGGACAGATTAGAGGGAGGGTGGCCACAGGGTGCTCCCAGACAGCACAAACAAAGGCATTATGTAACTGCAAAATGTTTGCTTTCACTTTTGCAGAGTGTAAGCTTCCTCTAACCTGTACGTGAGCATTAGCAGCAAGCCTGAGGAGGACCCGGGACCAGGGCCTGTGTTCTCCCCAATAACACCAGCCCAATCCATGAAGGGAGGGGGAGGAGATCTGGGGAAAAAACATTTACTGACAGACTACAAAAGGCAGAATAAAAAAATATCTTGAGTTTAAAATAACTTGTAGAGATTGAATGCCAGAGACTTTGTTTAAGGAGCCATCTCTGACTATAGAGCACAACATACGTCTGTATTTCTCACACCAGCGTGGCCTTGATCCATCAAAGCTGATCTACAAGCCTAACTGCAGCTCAGCAGTCACCAGCAGACTGGATTAAACCATAAAGCTGCCCTGTAGGCATTCCATTTAGCGTGTTCGAATCTTCAGCCACTAGATGAAGTCACAGTTGGTGACACTGTTTTGGCATAATGTATTGAGACCTCCAAGGCTGAAGGAGGAGTTTGGACAGGTAAAAAGTACCACTGTTGCTCTGGGTAACTGACAGGCAGGCAGATGCAGCCAGTGCTGTCTGCATTATTTGCTACTAAAATCGAAAGGGGGTGGAGGGAGCTGGAGGAGACTTCGAATTTTCCCAGCAAAAGCTGCATCTCAAGAGTCCTTCAGAGCACTCTGGGAACACACAGGAGTTTACAAATCAATTTACTAAATTGGCTTGGCTGGAAGTCATGCTTTTGTGTGTGGATCTGGCTGAAAGGCATTTTTTTTAATCTATCAGGCCCTAGTGGGGCTCCTTCAAGCAGTGTGGAGAAAAGTGACATCAGAAAAAGATGTCAGTTCCAAACCAAGTAGGAACAAACCCTGCTCCAAAGCCCCAGCAGCCCTGAGTAAGTCACATGGCCTCACAGAGCCAACTGCCTAGCTAGCCCACTAGCCTCTTGAATGCTGGCAGTATCAAAGTCAAGTACTGTCTCAATCTGGCCTTTTCCATGCAGCTATAGGTGACCCAGATGACAGGACCCCCTCCCCACACCAACCATTCTCTCATCTCCCATAGCCAGGTGGACAAGTGACAGGAAAGGATAAGAGCTCTGGAACCCCCATTGTGCAATGACTGCATACACTTAGCCAAATTGGGAACTTCATTTAAGCAGCAGAGAGAGCCAAGCTGTACTTCTAAAGACAGAATTTTTAGATTTCAGGCATATGCTATTTTTGGTTCTGTATAATTTTGCCCTTTAGATATTGTGAACTTGAAGAATTCTGCAAGTAGTCCGTCTCCTTTTGTTTGTTCACTAGTTTGTTTTTCAAATGAGCCCTCAGATGTAAAACAACCCTTCTGCCTCTGACCCTGATGCGAGTGCTGGATCCTAGGCATCGCTGCCACACTTGGCTCAAACCATCTTTGTTCACGTCACACCTATCGGCCAGTTGGCCAATTGCAGTGCACTTCCCAGGCTCCCTGTGACAGATGAGCCTGGGGTCCTGAGTAGGGAGGAGGTAGAACAAAGAGCCCAGACCCAGAGAGACCCAGATCCACTCAACAGAAAGCTGAAGCATGGAGACAGTAGTGTATTGCCCTCAGTCAAACTTTGGTGAGGTTGTAGCAAACCTCTAAAACCTCTAAATATGGAGTGGAAAAAGAAAAGGAATCTCCACACAGAGTCACATGCCCTGATGTTTCCAACTCTGAGGTCAATGAGTGCCTGCTAGGACATGCCTGTGTCACTTGTCACTCTCAACAAGGCATATATTAGTCATCACTTTGTCAAACATGTCTGAGAAAATAAGTTATTGCTCATGGGTTGAATTCATGATGGCTCAGCCCATCATCTGAAGCCTGTGGTAAGGCAGAGGAGCATAGTGTGGTGGCCATGGTGCAGCAAAGCTGCTGATCTCATGGTGGCTGGCAAGCAGGTATGTAGGAGGACAGGCTGAGATTCCAAGGAGTGGCTGAAGGGTACATTTCCAATGATCTAACGTCCTTCCACTATGCCCCCTCTTCCCACAGTGCCACCAGCTGAGCTTCTGGGGACATTCCAGACTCAAACTATAACAATACAGAATGCAGTTTCTAGCATGTCATGGTTGTCAAGTCAGAGACTTAAAACAAATAAAAATAATCACAAGGATGATTTGGACATCAATAAAAAGGATATCTTACTGCGATTTAATTGCTAGGGTACAAAGGTTAATATGACTAAATCAGAAATCCCAGTGAACATTCTAGACTCTAAGATACAGAGTGTCCATTGTTATAAGAAGTCTTCTCTGAAACTGAAGCCCCCATTTACATTTCTAAGCACAGTGATTTTAACCACCTATGGGTACATGTTAAATGGTGAGAGCCCGTTGGAGCAAGGTTGACTGTTAGGAAACACTGAACGCCTGCTTCATAATTCCCCAACTGTCCCTCCTCTGGTTTCGTTCTGATTCTGCATCTGGGACTAAGAGAACCTTCTTTCCTGAAAGTGCTTGTTTAGGGACTGAGGCAGTTTTTTAAGTCAAGTATATTTGAGTGCCTATAAGCAGCCTTGTGCCCTTGCAGAGACGACCAGGAAGAACACATCTTATGAATGGCTGCTGGAGAAGGTGTCAAGTCAGGTGACATAAAAATTTCTAGAGTGATAGAGATCTGGAGCCTATCCACAAGGTGAAAGAAACAAATGGGAGAGACAGCTGGACCTCCAGTTAAAATTCTGGTGGTCAGAGGTGGCCATGTCTGAGAAGACCTCAGGGCTTTGCTAGAAACAACTTTCTTAGCTGTTTCTTAGTTGTTTCCTGAGGCAACAGCAAGGAAAGAAAGAATCGAGCTGATGTGAAGAAGGGAAGGAGGAGAGGAGGCAGGGAGGGAGGAAGGAATGGAGGGAGGGGCAGGCAAAGAGCTGCCAGAAGCAGGGATATTTGGAAAGTAGTGTGGGAGACAGAAACTATGGAGGTGGAAAACATGGACAAAGAAGACTTCTTCGCCACATGGTTTCGAATTAGCCAAAAACTTCAGCTCAGCTTCACAACTATAATTTTTAGAAGTATAACCAAGGACTGAACTCAGCTCTGCTTGAAATATTTTTAATTAGTGTTTTCTACCAATGAGTGTGCTCAATTCATGGAGAATAAAGAAACCATCCAATTAGAAATGTATATCTGTGGTGTGTGTGTGTGTGTGTGTGTGTTTGTGTGTGGGGGTGGTGGGGGTGGTGGTGAGGCTAATAATAACTCCAAACAACTTGACAAAGTTATACATCTATGTGAAAAAGAAAGAAAGCTCAAACACTAAATTAATGAGTATGGACAAAAGAAATAGCAAACTTATAGTGTGCTATCTGGGCTGTCAAAGTTAGACAAGAAAACATACTGGATTCTACAAAGCAAGTATTCCTGGGCCCAGAAATTACTAAGAACTCAAGAGTTTTCTTGGCTGTAACGACTTGTAAATATCTAGAAGAGCCCAGATTTTGAAGCCCCGAGGACACTTACTACAGCTAAGAAAGTTGGCAGGAAGCTTTGCACAGTATTTGGGTTTTCTTTCTGAGTTGATATCTTACCAAATACAGCCATCTGTGTTCCCTCTGGGAAAGGTTCAACCGTTCTGTTGCCACTGACATGGTGTTTGGCTGGAAAAAGAAAGAAAGAGATGTGAGTTTAAGTGTAAAGTTTGACATGCATCCTAACACATGTCATTAAATGTGCCAGCGAGCCTGTTTCTCTTCATGAGTTAGGGACACACCAAATCTTACCCTCTTAAGAGAGTTTCAGGTATCCTTTTTTTTTTCTTCTAAATTTGTGCACACATGTGCATGGGCACATGTGGGGTTGAGGAAGTAGACATACAAATGTGTGCATGTCCATGCGGAGGCCAGAGGTTAGCCTTGGATGTCATTCATCAGGTGTGATCCACTTTTGTTTATTTGAGGTCTTGTTATTGTTGTTTGTTTGTTTGTTTGTTTGTTTGAGGCAGGATCTCTCATTGGCCTTCAGCTCACTAATTTGGCAAGGCTGGACGGTCAAGAAGCCTAAGATATTGCACCCATCTCTGCCTCCCCAGCACAGAGAATAGAAGCACGTGCCATAACAACCAGTTTTTTACATGAGTTTTAAGAATCAAACTCAGACGCCTATGTTCAAACAAACATCACGTTACTGACTGAGCCATCTCCCTAGCCCTTCATATGAGATTCAACCTCAATGATAGGACATGTCCTTTTGTAAATGAATGTGTCAGGGTCCAAGTTCTTATAGACTTGGATAACTGAAAAATGCTGGACCCTTGGTTAGAGGGCCTCTACTGAAGCTGACCACACCCAGAGAACAAGAGAATCCCTGTAATCCAGGTTGAGTAAGAATACTTCCTCCTGATGATGCCTAACAATCACATATTGATGAAGTTGGTATTCAAGAAGCATAGCTGCAGGCTATAGCATCCCACAGCAATTCAAGCACTATCACAACTGCCTTGAGGACCCCATGGATATCCAGGGCTTCTCAACAGTCCCTCAGCCCCAAAATCTCACCACCAGTGTAAAGCAGGGGCTGGCAGAGATGGAATGAGCCTAGAGGTTAGGGCTTCCAGCATACACTTGTTCTCAAGACCTCCAAAGAGAGAACTCCAGAAAATGCTCCATCTGAACATGTTTGATAATATCCCTGGCAATTTTCAAGTACAAGTATTTACCAGAAAATATATAGGAGGAACAGCTAAATCATGACATTCAGCATCTTTGTGACTTAAGGGTCATACTAGGTCTACTAAACCCTGGCAAAGGGCAACAAGGACACAGTCTGGGTGAGTGTCAGAGGATCTGAGCCACAGAGCCATCTGGTCCAGGTATAATGAGGTATGACATTAGATTGTGATGGGACCATGTCACAGGAGGCCTAAAGTTCCTATCTAAACTGTGGGCTTCTCAGCACCCTCTGCAGTATTGCCTGGGTGATGTAGGTCCCATGAGTTTGTGAGGCTCCTTTTAGTTTATAGGATTCCATCAGTTCATCTCAAGGGTTTCCATTGGTTTGCAAGTACTAAAAATCAGAGAGAAGGAAAGAGGCCAGCCCAGGGTGGAGACAGCCAGCCAGCAGGCTCAGCAGCATCCTGTGGCTTTCAGGCACTATTGGACACAATCATCAGAGATATGACATAAGGTCCAAGGTGACCCTGCCATGCTCACTCAGATAGGTAAGCTCCCTGGTTGCTGTATCCTAGTAAACTCATGGAGGCCAAGCCTTTGCTCTGTGGGTAGCCCTGGCCTATCTCTTAATCTTGACCAGTGAATTTGGAACGTCACTTTCACCCATCCCAAGAGTCCAAAATGCCTTCCTTTAACCCACTAACCCTACCTGTAAGAATTTAACTCAAAAGAAAATGGAGGTGGGAAAAAAGAGGATATACTTAGCAGAATGTAAAGTTCTACTTGTCATAAGGAGATTTCACAATATATTTAGAAATTACGTTCACGACTTTATCAAATGCAGCTGTTTCCTCTGGACTGGACATGACCATTGCCATCTTGAGTCAGAGCAGCTGTGATCAACAGCACACTACCATCAAGAGATCATGAGATCATACCCTTCCTTCATGAAGGAATTGGGGAGGCTTAGGAGCCGTCAAGAGATCTTCATGGGGTTCCCCCCTCCCTGGGTTATGTTAGATGGAAACAATGGAGTGATTCTCGTAGTGCCACTGCCTAAAAGTTTCCCAAGGAGCTCTCAGGAGGCACCTTTTCATGAGACCTCCATGCTGTTGGTGGGACTTTGGGAAACATAGTTAATCTATGCTTCTGTGAGTGGGTCCAGTAGAGGCATTGGGTCACCAAGCTAGACTTGGATGAAGTCCTTTCTTGGCTTTTGTTGCCCTCTCTATCTGGGCTCAACAGATGTGACAGCAATGTATTTGAGCACTACTTAGAGCAATGAAGAAATATGAGAAAACGTGTGCTTTCCTGGCAAGAAGAATCAGTTTTTGCTACACCATTCTGGGGACTACAAGGACAACAGATTGAAATGCAGATACTGAAAGTGAAAACTGAATGTGAGCTGTGTTTCTTTTCTGCAATTCTGCCTTTGCCACTGTTAGGTTCTTTTCTTATTTTCTATGATGAAAATGCTTCAGATTTTAAAAACCCACAAAACCATAGACTTCTCTGTACACTTCCTTCTTTAACAATTGGCTTCCCGGGCAGGCCAAGGTCTATAGCTTACGTGAAGTTCACAAGAGAAGGTGTGTCTCCTGTGACATCATGGTGGCATAGGAAATGAGTCCAAACCTGACTGCCTTAAGAACAGGCCACCACCCTGCCACCTCTTGGGCTTGCTTCTCCTTACTCCTGTCCTACCCACATGTATGGTATGGTGTCCCCAAATCTAGCTCAGTTCACCTCCTGTGTCCTCCTAATCACACACCCCTCCCTTTAACGTGCAAATTGCCCTTGTCTCAGTACCCTTGACCTCCCTGTCTGACCTCTAATGACTTCCTTTCTGTATTCCAGACCCATTCATTCTTCCCAAAGTAACTAGAGCTCTCTTTCAACAAGAAAAAAAAAAATCTAAATTACATGACATAAACTCCTAAGTACCTGCCTGTATCCATCACAACTGTTGCTTTTACAACCCCATCTGAGCAATCAGTTTCAGGGAAGAATTGTTCATTTGGCTCAGTCTCATAGTCTAGGTCTGTCATAGTGAGAAGGCAAGATGGAACAGAGCACCCTCCAGGAAGCAGAGGACTGTGTTTGTGGACTCTTTCCCTTCTCCTCCTTTATTCCACCAGGGCCCCCATGCTACATGGCAATGCCACTCACACTCAAGGAAGGTTCCACACCCCTTTTGTTAATGGAATAACCCTCATGGACACACCCAGAGGCATGCTTTATCAACCTTCTAGGAAAGTCTTAATGCAATCAAGTTGACAGTCAAGATTAACTACATTTCTCCCATCTCCGCTGGCTCCCCATTACTCTGAAGCTAGAGTCAATGCTTTTGCTGACCTTTAAGCTCTATAAGGGATGGCTCCAAAGTCTCTTCTCCCTCTACTACAGATACCTCTGCCTTGACCACTAAGGGTTGCACTAAACATTCCTGTTACTACATGGACAAAGACAAACTCTCCCAGGGACTGGTAAGGAGGTCAGTGGCCATATCTTACTTCTTACCACCCCATGATGCCAGCATGTAGTGACACAAAGGTGTTCACTAAGTATTTGTTAAGCTAATAAATGAAGTAAATAACTTTTAAAAGTCTCTTCACACCAATATGAAAGATGTATCTTATTTGATCCAGTGAATTGACACACATACACTCACAGACACACCCATACTATTCTATTACTTAATGGGCAACAGTCTAAGAAACAGATTATTAAACACTTTTCTGTGTGTTTACACAAACTAAGCTGGCCAAGACATCACTAACTTTGCAATGAAATCTTAGTGGGACACCATCAACTATAGCCTGTTGTGACTCAAACATTGTTGTGACATATGATCAAATTGATCATATCTGTCCGTGTGAATGCATGTGTGAGTACATGTGGAGACCAGGGGACAGCCTCAGCTGTCAATCCTCAATTCCCACTTGCCATGTTTTTTGAGACATCCTCTTTCACTGGTCCTGAAGTCACCAATTAGGTTAGGCTGGCTGGCCAGTGCCCAGGGATCTACCTGCACCTGACTCCCCAGCACTAGAAGGGCAAGCACACACTCCCACGCCCAGCTTGTCTAAGTGTGCTCAGGTCTTCATGTATGCAAGGCAAGTACTTCAACAACTAAGCCACTTGGCCAAGCCTATAACATATTTTTTTTAAAAAAATATAAAGGCCATGTTTTCCTCATAATAAAGTTGAACATTTAAAATAACCACTCAGAAACAGTACCCCAGTGGAGTGGCCTAGATAGCAGGGAGTAATGTCTCACCCTCATATGTTGAGGCTTCCTTCCTAGCTCCTTATCTCTTTCCCTCTGGGGAGATGCAATGCTGATGGAAGTAGCCATGAAAATGTTGCATGCTGGACAGGAAGGAGGAAGTCTGTGCTGTCCTCTCCCCTATTTTCTCCTTTATTCCAGAGCCTGAGACCCACATATAATCATTTCTATCAGGTGATTTTGCATTTTCTTCTGGAATAGAAATCATTGAGTCTTAGGTCAGCCCTGTGGCAGTATATGCAACATTAGCAAGCAAGAGCTAGGACAGGCTAGCGATGACAGGCTGGGCTCTGGAAGATCACCTGACCACGACCCTCCCCCATGTCCTGGCTCTATGATCTTGATATATCACTAACCTGTGTGAGACTTTGTTTCCTCGTTTGAACTACTTCATGGGTGGCTTTGAGAATTACATAGGTATGTAAAGCCTGACATACTGCAAATATTGCACAATTGTAACCTGTGTAGGAGATTTCTATCAAAAAAAGAAAAAACAAGATTTAAGTCAGGAAACAGTGTCCTCTTCCTTCTCTTCTTCTTCCTCTTCCTCCTCTTCCTCCCCCTCTTCTTGCTCTTCTTCCTTTCCCTCCTCCTCCACATCCATGCTCATAGCAGACATCACTAATCACTCAGCATTCTCTCATCCCTAAATGTAACCTCATAACTCTTTCTCATTATAAGAGCTCAGAGAGTCAGTTAC